TGACTGAGACACATCATGTAGCACTTCCGGAGGCACAGCCTCCCCGTCGGCAGCTCTGCAGATGTGTGCGGGGGTCTGGGGCTGGCGACTCCGCGGGGGTGGGCTTTTTTGGTTTTGTAGAAAGGAAATGGTTTTCTCCCTCATCTCACCCTGCCATGCAGCCTAATGAGGTTGCAAGGTGGGATGTGCAGGGGGATGGACACAGGGTAGGCAACCTTGCCCAAGGCTTACGCCACCCCAGCCCTTCGCCTGTGGATCTGAGCTGCAGACGCACCCTCCACCTTCCCTTGCCAACGCTGCAGCAGCGGGGGACAAGCCAGAGTGATGGAGGTTTTACCCTGTGGACAAAGCTCTCCAGAAACCAGACCACCCTTTCCTTACCCACTACAAAGAGCCACCAGCCAAGCACGGGGACACCACCAGCTCAGATGGATGGCCTTGGCGGAGAAGGCACCAGCCCTGCTCACCTAGGAGGGCTTAGCCGGCTGGGGACTGTAGCGGTAGATCTGAGGACGAATACAGTAATTGCTAAGGTGCTTCCTTCAGATAAACAGCCTCCCGTGTGCGACACCAAGGCTGAAGGTGTCCCAACTGCACAGGTGCCCACCTGAGTCCCCACTGCTCCCAGGAGCATCTTCTCCCTTTGCCACTGGGGCTCCCACTGCAGATGCACATGCTACCCAGTGTCTGCGACGCCAGGACCCTCGGCTTCACCCCAGGCAGTGCCTGCCCTGGGGGACTCACCCAGCACTTGGAGCTGGAGACCTCATGGGAGAACCAGGAGAGGAGCAGATGTCCTCTGGCTGGGGGTGAACCAGCCCCTCCATCCTGCCTCCATCCCCAGCTGTCTCTGCTCCACCCAATGCAGCCCCTGAACTGGGAGCAGCCACATCCTCCTCCTCATCGGGCAGGGAGAGGGCACAACCTGACCAACATCTCCCACCTCATCCAGGGAGCAAAGTCACCCTAAATACCCACCCTGTGCCCCCCCACTCCTATTTCCAAGGCTCCATCCCTCCCAGTTGCCATGCCAGAAGGGGAGCACACGGCTGCCCAAACCGCAGCGAGACGCCGCACAGAGACCCGACAAAAGCCGAGACATGCCAGGCCGAGGGGGAAGGCTGATCCACTGTGGATCAAATCACCCACCATGAGAAACATCGCTTGGGGCAGGAGGAGAGGGCTGGGGGTGTCCTATTCCCGTGGAAAGCATGGGGCTCTTTTTTCGGTTATACAAGATGAAACCACAGGGATATAAATGTCGCTGCCTCTTTGAGAGCATTAATGAAAATAAACCCATTTAATAGTTTGCAGATGCCACTTCTGTAAACCTAAAAAAAGCAGGGAATAAATATTTCTTCACTAAATATCTATATGTATATATATATTTGAAAACATTCACTTCTAATCTTAGGGCCCCTCCTTCACCATGCTGTTGGCAGCTTATCGCAGCTTGTCAGTCAACGCTGAAGCCTCACCGAGACGAGATACAAATTGCACCCATGGAGGGGTAGCAGGACAGAGGGATTATTGTAATCTAAGCTCCCTCTCGCCTTTTATTTGTACATTTCAATTACTTGTAACAAGATCCATGGTGGGTGTTTTTTTTTTCTTCTGCATGTCTGTGTTTTGGAAATTTTTGTAAGGTTTTTGTAAAAACAACTCTTGTGAAATAATGGAGGAATAAATATTTTACTGAGTAGAGACGTGTCCATGCATGCGATGGGGATGTGGCTCTTTCCTCACCGGCCACTGCAGTTTGCCCACCTGCCCTGGACAAGCAGCACGGGCAGGGGACCAACTGCCCTGGGTCCCCACCCACTGCAGTTTGCCCACCTGCCCTGGACAAGCAGCACGGGCAGGGGACCAACTGCCCTGGGTGAGGGGACAAGAGCCATGATCCGGCCACCTTCTCCTTGCATGGTGGTGGCATCTCACAGCTTCTCCCTGAGACCTGGGTTTCATCCCAGGCTCCCAGAGAGCAAGTGGTCCGCATGCCCCAGGAGAGGGGCAGGAGCAAGGGGGGGGAGGCATGTCGAGGCCCCTTTGAGCTGAGACAGGGCAGAGGGACCACAGTCCCACAGCAGAGCTGCTAGGACCCTCCAGCTTGGGGACCCTTGAGGTGATGCGCAGAGATGGTGGAAACTCACGGGGCACAGAAAACAGCCTAACAAAGGTCCCTGCATAACAGCAAATTGCAGGGCCTTGCCAGATCCATCTTATTTCATTCCAGGATAATGACTGTGGGCTATTGAGGTAGGGGTGTCAGGGAAGAGGGCTCGGTTTGCTTTTCCCCTTCAAAATCCCACTTGGAGTGGCAGAGCTTATGGGGTCTGCCTCAGGCAGTTCATGTTAACACCAGCCCCAGTCCATACCCCCAGCCTTGAGAGCAGCACCCGCATTTCCCCCCAGCAGCAAGAAAATGGGCTGAGGTGGGATTCGGCCAGGAGCAGGCAGCAGAGCGCCTCGCTGCTAGGTTGTCAGGTCAAACACTGCATCGCAAATGGGGGTAGAAACCTGTAAACACTGCCTGATGCTCCACAGACATCAGGGATGAGCATCTGTTAGAGACGTCCTGTCCTCCTGGGACAAGCACTCAATGGTCCCAGCAGAGACCATCAGAAAGTTATTGCACAGCCCTGGGAGCTGGAAAGAGGCAACAGGCGACCAGCTTGGAGAACTGGAGGCAGTGGAGAAACAAGGAGATTGTCTCCTACACCACCACTGCAGGCAGATCCAGGCATTGAGACAGATGCCGCTGTCAGGCACACAGACTCTGTAAGGGCTGGGGAGCACAAGCACGGGAAGCCCAGATGAATCCAGCTCTGCCAGGCTCCGTTCTGTGCACCAAGAAGGGCATTCACCTGGTGAGCTGCAGGCTGGGCGCTGATGGGGCAGAGAGCCAGGCTGACGGGGTGAGACGACACAGGATCTGAAGGGCAGCCCGGCCTCACTGCAGGCTCGGCAGAGCCTCGCGGTTGAGCTGATTTGCAGGGAGCTGGGATCGGTACAGGGTGCTGTGAGCGGTACAGGGTGCTGTGAGCAGGATGACTCCCGGGGAGAGCCCCCGAGGAGCCCACCGCCGGGGAGCACACACACAGGGACCAGAGAAGGATGTGGCTCCCTGGGCGTTTTCACCTCCAGGTCTACAGAAACTGAGCTAAAAGGCAGCAAGCAGAAGTGTCAGATTCTGCACTAGCTGAAAGACCAGAAACAAAACGGTAGGAATAAACCATCAGGTCTTGGATTGCAGAGTGCTTCCCAGGGAGCAAAGGGCCACAGTTGCAGAGCAGGCACAGAGCACCCAAAAACAGGGGGAAGCAGTGGTCAGGCAAAGGAGATACCAAATAGCCTGGGGCAGCCAAAGGCAGACGAGCTCTAGGAGCTCACAGTGCCGAGCTGCAAAGCAGCAGAGGTAACGCAAAGCCAAGAGGTGTGAAGATGCGCCCGAGGGAAACCACCCAGCACACACCCAGACTGAAAAGCAGCGAGACAAGTGGCAGGAATTGCTAGGAAAGGATTAGAAAAGGCAGAAAGTGTCCTCACGGCTGTCTTGAAACCTGCAGCACAACTCAGCCTGAAATCCATCACCCCAAGGTATTGCAGGGATCAAAGGTAAAGAGCGTACTTGGGTTGGGAAGTTAATGGCGGGTGGGTCTGTGTGGGTGCAACACGGCAGAGGTTTCCCTGCCTGTGCAGAACGCTGCTGCCCTGCTGACTTCCAGGGGTGGGGAAGGGACACCCCAGGCTTGCCTTGTTGCTTTTACGTCTCTTCATCTCCCGAATTGCAGCAGACTCCTCTTGAGCCAGCTACCATGGTATTGCTTGGAGGACATCTGCCCCACCTCCTCCTCTCCAAGCCATCCCCAATCCCCCCCAGCCAGGGGGTCTGCAGATACCTCCCACGCACCCAGAGGGGCTCAGCTCCACAAGAGCCCGTGGGACCAGCTCCCTCCCAGCAGCAACCCCTGCGTCCCCCCATCACCAGTGGCCTCTGTGACACATGGACCCCACGGGACTGCAAGGTTGAGGAAGGACCCCTACAGCAACACGTCCCAGCTTTCCCCAGAGGGAAACAAAGCTCAACCCATTTCATCCCAGCACTTCAGTGCAGCACCCAGTAGAAGGGGAGCAAGTCCCTGTGTTGGACATCACCCCAAGCCTGCTAACTGCCTAAGCTTTTGTGTCTTTCCACCCTGTTTTTGGTTCTAGTGGAGGAAAACCAGGGGGCAGCCACACCATGAAAGGCTTGAAAGGAGCACGAATTCTCCACCATGCAGCCACAGAGCTCCTTGTGCCATCCCGGGACAGTGGGCAACTCCAGACAGACACGGAGATCTTTTCTCAGTGCCCAGAACCATGACCTGCCGCTGGGACTCGGGGCACCCCACACACAATTTACAGGTCCGATCTGTGGGATGTGCAGCCCATAACGCCATACTGGCCCGCTCCAGCGGCCACGGTCCCACTCACCAGCAGCTTAACCACCCCTGTTGTACTGCTCCACTACTGCTCTGTGACCACCTATTTATTCATTCATTCAGTGACTTGTAGATGATTAAGATAATTTGTCCAACCTCCTGCCTAGC